TGGCTGCTATTTTGATGCTTCATTGTAGCGATCAAAGTAGAAAACGAACTCCTGGAGAGGTTGGGGAAATTTATTTGGAATTTTTTGGGGACAATTGAAAGCCTTTTTTGATTAAAATTTTAAGGCAGAAAATATTTTTTGGAAGGTTATGAATATTTTTAAAAAATCTGACAAGCCTTTTGAGCACCAGACATTGAATTTAATGCTTCCTTATTTTCCAATTAATTTTTATTAATTATTTTTAGGCCCCTCGTCAATTTTCTTTCCCTCGCCCTCCACCTGAAGAATCAATTAAAACTGAACCTGGTGATAACAGCAAATCTGTTGTTAGCAGCACAAGTAACGCTTCTACTGTCTCAGCCGTCCCAGCAGAAAAAGATACGCAAGAAAAATGGTTGTTGGAAGTGGCAAACCAATTACGTGATGATGCTTTTACTATTCTTGCTCATATATCTCCACAGGTTTAAAATTGGGAAAAAGTTAAAATAAATTTTTTTTGTCTTTTTAGTTGGACTTGTATGAGGTTGACAGCGAAATTTCTTTCCCAATTTTCGATGCCCTCCTCCATTGGTCTGTCTGTACAGATTTGGCAGCAAGGGATCCATTACCTCCTTTTGGAGCTATATCCCCCAAACATTATGTATTGGAAATTTTCTGCAAAATGAGCGTTCTTGAAAGAAATATCGATCTTCTTTTGGCTACGGGGCCTTGGAGCCGTATTGAAGAATTTGTTAGACAACTTTGTTCATTAATTTGTGAAGAACCTCCAGTTCGAGAATTTGCTATAGTTATTTTGAATGCTTTATGTGCTGCTAGTGAACCTGTTTGTCATGTGGTGACTGATGAAGCTTCATTGTTGGATCATCTTGTTTCGTTTTTGGAAGCGGCAGATGCTAACATGACACAAGTAAATTTTCAAAAAAAACTTCTTGATTTTTAAATTTATTTTTTTTTAGATTGCTCAACATCAGGGCATCCATGCTTTAAGAGAAAATCCTGAAATTATCGGAACTTCTGTTGGAATGCTCCGTCGATCAACTTTGATTATGACACATATTGTAAGGCATGAACAATGTCGAAAACATTTTCAACGACTTCAGCATCGTTTGCTGCAATTTACTGTTTCACATTTTGTTAGTTTTTTTTTTATTTTGTTAGGAATTTGGGAATAGAAATTTTTATGTTAGGAATTGTCAACCTGAGATTTTGGACCTGTTGTTAGGCTAGAGAATGTACAGAAAATTTTTAGGAGGGGGACAAAATTTTTTTTGCTGGGAAAAATGAAAAACGTCAATTTGGAATTTACTTTCAGTAGGCCAAGAAGCTTCCAAAATCTCTTGGGTATTCTTGGTTATCTACATAAAATGTGTGTAAATAATATTCTAAATTAAAAATTTTTTCTAAAAAAGATGGATTCACGAGTTGCGGCTATGGTGTCTGACATTCTTTATGAAATGCAAAAAGGAGAAAATGGAGGAACAGGAGGGGATCCAAATAATGAAGAACTTGTAACTTTAACTACAAATAAAAGAACAGAAAAAAATATTGGAGATGAACAACAGGAACAACAACAAAAATCATCTCCAAAATTATTAAATGGGGGTGAATCTATAAATGAAGGAGGGGGAAATTCTAATAATTCTAACAATAATAATAATAATAATTGTGGTGTTGGGGGATATGGACATCAAATGGATTTTAGTAAACAAAAAATGGAATTTCAATCATCTACTAGACATTTGTAAAATTTTCTTAATCTTATAAAATAATTTTTAACACTAAATCTAATTTGAATATGTTTGTCAGAGTTTAGATTGTTCGAAAAAATCTGTCGAATTTTAAAAATTTGAGTATCGGTCTTTGGGGGTTAATCCAATCCCCTAACCCGTCCTATCCCATATATTTATCATGCTAGTTACCTCCGAATTTTTAAAATTTAAGTGGATAACACTTATGACATAATTTCTCTAATAAAGAGAATTTAGAAACTATCTAAAAGCTAGCTATAATACATTAATGATTTTTATTTAAAAAAATTAATTTTTCAGTTCTCTCAATTCTTCAGACGATTTAACGTCAGCTTTAACTTTAGCAGCTCCATCATCTATCTATTCAACATCTTACTCTACTCCACATCACCATCAGGCAACTTCTAAAACAGCTCTTTTAGCATTATATAATGGAGGAACAGAAAATTGTTATTCCAATAAAAATCCACAAGAAGCTCCAACAGAAAATAAAGGAATAAAAATTATTCCTTCAACACAACAAAATGGGTGTGATCCATGGATGTATAAAAATGAAAATAATATAATTAATAATTCTACGACAACAACAAATAATGAAACTCCAATACCTAAAAAGAGGGGTAGAAAAAGACCAACAACAACAGAAACAACAACTGTAACTCCTTCCCCTAAAAAAAGTTGGTCTCAGAAAAGACAAACAAATAAAAAAGTTCCGGAAAATCCAACAATGGAAAATTCATCGACAGACAACAATACGTCAGTAAATTCAAGTTTTTAAATAAATTGGTTAAATGTTTGAAGAAAACAAGTTTATTTTTAATTTCAAACTTGTTTTCCGAAAAGTTTATTTAAAACAAGTTTATTTTAGCATTTGTTTTCTTTAAAATAAACTTTCCGGAAAACAAGCTTGAAATTAAATTAAACTTGTTTTCCTCATAATTTTTTAAAGTTTTTCATTCCTCTTGCGTGTTTCCTCTTTTCCTTTTATGTATGTAGTAATTTATTATTATTTTTTTGTTTCAAATATTTATTAACTCCTATTTCCTCATAAAAAATTTTCTACAAAAAAATTGTTTGCTCAAACGCTTCGTAAACCCTTTTCCTCTAAAAATCTGTGTGTTTGTTTTTGATTGTTATCTATGTTTAATGTTTAAATTTTTGATTTTTAATTTCCGAAAAAAATAAACACACTTTTGACCTTTAAAATATCGCGGGCTTATGCATAGCAGTGTTCTCTTTAATTTCATTTCCTCAAAATTTCGAGTTGCACGTTACCTATTTGATACACAGAAAATTTAAAACAGCTAATTTATTCTACAACTCTAATATAATTATTTTTTATACTATATTTTTAATTTATAGGAGTGTCAAAATAAAACTTGTTTTTACAACTTGTTTTTATTAAAGTTTCTTAAAAACTTTTAAATAAACTTTTTTAAAACTTGAAGCATGAAATAAAACTTGTTTCTGAACAAATTTTAAAAACAAGTTTAAAAGTTTTCTCTCTCTCCAACTCCACCCAATAAATATTTTTTTTTATTCCTCAAAAATGTAAATTATAAATATTGCGTACTTTTTATTTCACTCACTTTTTTTAAACGTTAAAATATATATTTTTTTAGAAATTTCGTTTTTGGATTTTGATTTTTTATATTTTTCATTTTCTTTAATGAAATGTTTTGTTTTTTATTTTTAATCTTTTCCAAAATTTGTATAAAAAAGTTGAAACTTTTAAATGTTATTTTTTTAAATTAATGTAAAGAAAAATAAATATATTCAATATTAACTTAAATAAAAATATTAAAATGAAAATATGAAGAAATAATTATAAATGTACCGTAAAATCTCTAATAGAGTGCCCGGGCATTCTATTTTTCAATCACCCTCGTAGGGTCATTCAACTTTAGGGGGAATTCTAAGAGATTTTACCGTAGTTCTGACAAATTTAAAATAATTTTTCCGAAAAATTCTCAAGTTTTATCGTTCATCACAATCTAAAACACCTCTTTGTTTCAACTCCCCTTCTCCAATAATAGCCAATGGAGGTAATTGACGAGCACTTCCAGCAACCAAAGGTTGTCGAACACCTCTGGGTGAAGATAATGAAACGATTTGTTGTTGTTGTTGGCCGTTTGATTGGTGATGATTATTGTTGTTATTTTGTTGTTGTTGTGTTTCTGCTGGAGGTATCATTGGACTTTTTGGTTCAATTCTGTTGTTTCCTTCCAATTTGTTATTAAATAAGTGACAGAAATTCCAAATTATTATCCTCCTAAGAATAAGAGGGAGAATTTTAAAATAATATAAAATTCTGAAATTTATAGATATAAATCAGAATTATTATTTTTCCGGAAGGAAATATAAAGATGTAAATAATTAAATTAAAACTTTCCGGAATTATATAAAATCTTGATTCTACTACAAAGTCAGAATAAATATTAAATCAGAATAAATTTCCGGAAAGATAATAGATGAATATAACTTACCGGAAATATATTTCCGGAAATATATATAAAGGTTTTAATATCAGAGGAATACAAAATCAGAATAAATTTTTCGGAAAGATATGTAATGGATGAATATAATTTTCCGGAAGTATTTCAATATTAAAATTTAAAAAATATTTCAAACCAAAGTAAATATGCAATAGCAAAACACCACATATTTAAACATATTTCTCTAAATAGTTGATAAATGTCCATTTGTGGGACTGAGAATAATTCTGTAACAGTAAAGGTTTCAAAAGAAATAGATGCCCGTGAAACATAGTCCTTAAATATTTTTAAATAAAAAATAAATATTTTTTGGAAAGAATAACTTGAGTATTTCTGTATTCTGCAGGCAAATCTCTTTCTTGAATTTTTGTGGGAAAATATGTTGTATGACAAGGTACAGAAGATTCTCTATTAAATAAAATAAAATATTTTCAGAATTTTTAAAAAAATAAATCAGAATTTTATCTTTCCGGAAAAACAATATAATTCGAAATTAACTTTTTCCTGAAGAAAATAACCAATACTCTCATAGTTATTTTTCCGGTTAGTAGCAATTCTGAAAATGAGAGATATTTTCTGTCCGGAAAATAAATTCTATAATTTATTTTCCGGAAAGAAAATAACTCTCATTTTAATAATTGCTATCAACCGGAAAAATAACCACGAGAAAATAACTCTGAAATACAACTTTCCGGAAAAATTTAAAAGAGCTTTTAGGTCAAGCTTTTCTTGATACTTTTAGAATTAAAAGTATATTTTACTTTCTGCATTTATTAATAGCTTTATTAATTGTTGAGAATGCATCATTAGTTGGTAGTTGATTATATTCACTTCCATAATAATCAAATTCAATAAATGGACGAACACAACGTTCAAATTCGCCTACTGTACATATCGTGGATGCATTAAAACGACGAAGGAAATAACTGAAACAAATTATTTTAGTTATTGTAAATTTAAAAAATATATAAAAATTACCTATTCAAATCATTTTGAAGTGTCCAAAGAACTAATAACATCGGAACACATGAACACGTTTCTTTAAAAATTGATAAACTTAAAAAATAAAATTAGGCGCCTACCCACAGCTGTTTCTAACATACAGAGAAAACCAGCACTAGCTTCCGGAACAAGTTTCTCTGAATTAATTGCATAATTATCTGTAGAACGGCATGAAGATATTGTTGAGTAATGATCGAAAACACGATTCTGTTTTCAGAATTATAATAAAATATTAATAAAAACAGAATTTCCGGAAAGAAATAAAAAATCAGAATTATATCATTCCGGAAAGAAAATAGGTATGAGAAAAATAACTCCGAAATACAACTTTCCGGAAAAAGTGTATTAATTATTATTAAATTTTCCGGAAAGAAAATACAAAATTATATCGTTCCGGAAAGAAAATAACTATGAGAAAAAATAACTCTGAAATACAACTTTCCGGAAAAAGTTATATTCATTATTATTAATTTTCCGGAAAGAAAATAACCATAAAATAGAAATATATTTTTCCGGAACACAAAATCAGAATATAAAATAATTATTCTACCTCTCTTCTAATATCCATCCTCAGCGATTTTTTATCATTTAACGGATGTGCCTCTCCATGCATTATTGCTACTAATAACCGATTCTGTAGTTCTGCTGGTACAAGGAATATATCAATTCCAGGATGGACAGATAGAGAAGAGGAAAGGAATGAATTACGAGAAATCTTTTTAAAAGAAATATTTTTATTTTTTAAATTAAAGTACTTGAAATGTTATTTGCATCCCTCTAGGTGATTCCATTGGGCTTTGCACTGAAGAGAGATTTCCTACAAAAGGCCAACAAATACCTCCTCTGGGTGTGGCCAGCCATGGTTGTACCATCTTACAACAATCAAATCCACCCATTTGTCTAGAACCAATTACACAACTGGAGACCTATAAACTAGTTAAGAGTTTTTAAATTCTGAATTCAGAATATTTAGCATATTTCCGGAGAAAATAAATCAGAATCAAAAAGTTCCAGAATATTTACACATGTAAATATAAGACTAGCCATTTCTCCACATTGTGGCATTAATTGTTCCAATCTTTGCTTTAATCTTCCGTTTGGTAATAATTGAGCAATTGTTTGTTCTGCTTGTTGTCTATCTAGTTCAGATAAGGGAACAGCCAAAGAATCTTCAGGAGGGTTTGCTCCCAGTGAAGGATCGAGCCATTGTCGAAGGTATGAAAGAACAGAGTCACGGTTGAATTGTTGGCCAAGGGAGGAAAGCCCGGCTTGAGTAAATGGGAAACGATTGCAAAAAAGTAGATGAGGGAGTGTTAATTCACTGGCAATATGGCTGAAATTATTTTTTGATTAAAAATATTTTTAAATTGAGTATTCTTCTTTTAAGTATTTCCTTTAACTATAAGTATACTTATAAATAAACTTGGAGAAAATAAATTTAAATAATGTTCAGAAACATGCTTTAGGAATGTTCAGAATGTTTTGTTTGTTTTAATGCTCAAAAACAAGTTTTAGGTTGTTTTAAAGTTTATTTTAAAGTTGGTAATTGTTTCTAATAAAGTTTTGCTAGTTTTAATGTTGTTCAGAACAAAGTTTTTGAACAAGTTTTATCTAATGTTTATAAACTAAACAAACTTTAAATAAAACTTGTTCAAACTTTGTTTTGAACAACACCTCTTTCAAGTTTTATAACAAATAAAAACATTTTACATCTTTTTCAGTTCAACATGTTTTCCATCTAAATAAACTTTAATTAAAGGTAAACTTTGAAACACCCAACATATTGTACAAATGATGAAAAGTACAATTTTTGCAAGTTTAATTAAAAAAGAATATAAATTATTATGTTGGGGGGACATTTCTAAAATAATTTATTTTTAAATTTTAAAAATTAAATATATTTTCTCTCCTTTTATTTTTTTTCTTTTTTTAGAGAAAATAAATAATTTTTAAAAATAAATATTTTATTTTTATTGTTTGTATTTTCTCAACAAAACTTTAAAAATATTTTTCAAAATAACAACAATGGACATTAAAAATAATTTTCTTTTTTTTATTTTTCTTCTGTTGTCCAGGTAACTTCTTTAAAATTCTTTTCTTTCAACTTGACCATCGGCTGGTTATAAGAAACCCCAAAATTTGTGTGCCAACAATTTTGTTGAGAAAAAAAAAGAATTTTTGCTTTAAAAATAATTGGCGCCGTGCTAGGCAGGTGGTTTGGGGACTGACAGAAAAAAAATAAAAAAAATTGGCTTTAAATAAAAATATATTTATTTTGCACTTCTTTATTGAGTCTTGACAATATTTTTATGCCTTTCCCTTCTCGGTCAGTCATTAATAATTAAATTGGAAAATGACCACAAAGGTTTTCCTTTCTTTTTTACAATGCGCGGGAAATGCCAATTAAATATTTTCTAATCTTTGGACAAAAAAATTTAATTTTATAAAAGGGGAAAAATTGAAAAGTTAAAAGGGAGGAATTAACAAAATTTGGCGTAAAAATAAAAGTGGGAAATTTTTAAATTTAAATAAAATACCCCCCTAATTTTGATTTTTTTAAATTATACTAAAAAATTCTTTTCTCAATTTATTTTAAAATAAAAAAATGCAAAAAGACAAGTCAGAGGACATTTTATAAGAAAATTATTGGAAAAATTAAAAAAATTTTTTGTCCAATTTCCTGTCCTAAAAAATTTTTCCAATAAAAATCAATTTATAAATATATTGCCAATTATAGTCAAAGAGTACTATAGTAATAATAACCACAAAATATTTACCAAGAAAATATTTTAAAATAAAAATAATTTTTATTATTTCTAAAAATTTAAAAATTCCAGAAAATCGTTGAAGAAAAAAAAATAATAAATTTTTTTCTTTAAAAAATACCCCCTAATTTTCCCTAAAAATACCCCCTAAAAATATCCTCTAACTATAAAAATTGAAATTTTCAATTTTTCAAAGGAAAATTTTTTGGTAAAAATTTCATGATATATTTAAAAATGAGAGAGATTTGTTAAAGAAAAAGCTTGATTTTAAGCAAAAAAAAACTACAAAAATCAGCTACATCTAAAAACTTCCTCCAAAAATTTTTAAATTTAAGGTGATTTTTAATAATTAAAAAATGCATTTTTAAGTAGATATGTGGCGTTTAAATTAAAAAAAAAGAAAATTAAACAAGAGAAAACGCCGATAAAATACTGAAAGAATCGAAAAAATATCATTTATTTTTTAAGGTTTTTTTTCATTTTTTAGCGCCAAAAAATTTTTTCTGAGCTTGAAAAGAGGAAATTGAATTGTGTTGATTGTGTCAGTCAGAAAAGTCATTTTAGTGACAAAAAATACAGCGAAGAAGGTTAACAAAAGCACTAATTATAATCAAAACTACAAAAAGTGCAATTAAGAAAACGGCCCAATCCTGAAAAAAATAATATATAAATTTTTAAAAAGAGGGAAGTTTAAAAATAAAATTTTAAGCTTTACTTAAATACTTTTCATTTTTACTGCGAATTTTGTAAAAAATGATTGAATTTTAAAATATTTTTTGGATCAAAATAAGGGCTTCATCTGAAAGGAGTGCATGGTTGCTTTTTTCTCTTACTCGCTTAGAATAGTCTTTTTTCCTGTTTTCTAATGATCGTGTGACGGAAAAACAAGGAATTCCAAAATACGGAACAGACAAAGCACGGTCTGGTAATTTTGGCCCAAAAAAATTAAATTCTCGGAAATTTTAGATATAAAATGCTTTAATAGAGGATACACAGAGAAGGCTAAAAATCAGAAAAAACTTTAGATCAGACTTTTTATATTTTCTTTGTTTATACAAAATGACAGATTAATTAAAACCCCCCACTCTACTACTATTAAAAATTAATTTTCTAATCAAAAAAAAAGACCTGCAGTCGGAAACAACAATTTGTGTTAAGCTCCCCACAACAACGAAAATAGAAGAGCCAATTAGATTCTGGACATCGTTCACCTACAACGGGTAATGGACAAGCATAAGAACCACGACTTCAATAAATGTTTATTTAAATTCAAAAAAATTTCAAAAAATTAACTAACTTTATATAAAAAAGATCCATATCTTTAATTTCATCCCAAATGTCACGTTGTTCAGCCAAAACGGGAGAACTTGAAAATTGGAAAATAAAAATAAAAGTCAATAAAATTGCTGGAAAGTTAAGAAGCATTTGATGAAAAATGAATATTTTTTTAACTAAATTATGCAAAATCTAAAATAAAAAAATTAAATAAAATATGTTCACAATTTTCTATTCGATCGAAAAAAGCAATGAGTAAATTGAATAAATGGCTTTGATAACTTGTCAAATGGAAAAAAAGAGGGGGAGAGAACCGGTTAGAGAAAATGGAAGAAAGACTTTTTTAATGTTTTTTGTAGAATAAAAGTTATAAATAAATGTTACACATAATACATTTTTTTGTTTATTGAAGGTTATTTATAAATAAATATATTAAAAATATAATCTTTTTATATAAGAGAAATGACTGTTAAGAATTTTGTTGTTTAAAAAAGAAAATAAAATGTTTGTTAATTTTAAAAAGAATTTATTTTTTAAAGTTTACTTATTGCTAAAACACTTGAAAAAAATTTAAAGGATCAAATTTTGTAAAAGAAAAGTTGTTCCTATTTAAAAATTTTCTTACTTTTGACCTAATTAAAAGTTGGTCAAATGAAATTTTGGGAGAAGTTACCAAATTGAAATTTATTTGCAAATTTAAAATCATTTCGCCAAATTACTATACAAACGCGAATATTTAGAAAGTTTAAAATTTTGTTTGCTTTAAAAAATCGTGTCTGGTGAAAACGGCAGTGGTGAATTGGGCAGTGAGTAATTTGGGCAGTGAGTGATTTGGTCAGTAAACGATTTTTAAAAAATAATTTTACACGCAAAAACAATTTGAGTAACGTCAGAAGAATAATTTTGAGCGATTTGGGCAGTAACTTAGAATTTTTAAATTATTTACACAAAAATTCAAAGAACCGCACCCCTTTTTCATTTTGATATCGTTGTAGGTACAACATTACCCTTTGTTGAAATCGTCTTGGTCTCAATTTTGACGTTTCCCTAAGTGATAAGTAGATTAAGGTATGAAAATTGAGAAATAATTCCTATTTTAAGTTTTTAGGTTTCAAGATAGGTCCAAAATATTTGAAAAGGGTCAAAATAGTTTTGGAAAAATATGTTCAAATTTTGGATTTACTTTAAGTTAAATAAAAATTTCCGGAATTTTTCTTATCAATTTTAAATAATTTAAAAATTCTAAGTTACTGCCCAAATCACTCAAAATTATTCTTCTGACGTTACTCAAATTGTTTTTGCGTGTAAAATTATTTTTTAAAAATCGTTTACTGCCCAAATCACTCACTGCCCATATCACTCATTGCCCAATTCACCACTGCCCAAATCACACGGCACCTTAAAAAATTGTTTTTTGAAAAATTTCTTTTTCTTTAGTACTTATAAAAATTTTTAATTTTTATAGTTAATTGATTAATTCTTTATTTATTTGACACAAAAATGAGTGATTTTGATATGGATGATGAGGATTATGGTTTGGTAATGAATAAATTTGTTGAAAATATTTTTGAAATTTCCCATATTTTTAGCAATATTCTGACGATTCTGGAAGCGAACCTGATGTTGCTTTGGAAAATCAATATTATGCAGCGAAGGCTTTGAAATCTGAAGGGAATCAGTCTGCTGCTTTAACTTCCTTTCAACGTGTTCTTGAATTGGAAACTGAAAAAGGAGATTGGGGCTTTAAAGCTTTGAAGCAAATGATGAAATTGACTTTTTCTATGGTTTATTTTTTAATTTAGAAAAATTGGGGTAGGAAGATTTGTCTTTCACTACTTCATTTTTGTTTTGAAATTTTCCATTTTCTATTTCATTTCCTCACATTTATCAAATTTTTAAGGGAAGATTTGAACAAGTTTTGACACATTACAAACAATTGCTTACTTATATTCGTTCTGCAGTAACTAAAAATTATGCGGAAAAATCAATTAATTCAATTCTTGATCACATTTCTGGTTCTAAAAATAAAGAATTATTGCAAAAATTTTATCAAATAACGCTTGATGCTTTAAAGGTTTTCGTTTATTTTTTTTATCTTTTAAAGTTTTCAAACTTTAGGAAGCTCGAAACGAAAGACTTTGGTTCAAAACAAATACAAAACTTGGCAAACTTTATTTTGATATGAAAGAATTTGACAAGCTTAAACAAGTACTTAAACAATTGAGAAATTCGTGTCAGGTAGTGAAATTGTTTTGTGAATTTTATTTTAGAAGTGTATTTGGTTGAGAAGAAAATTGTCGTATAGTTATTCGGATATCCGAACAGAAAATTTCCGGATATCCATCCTTTTTCGAATCCAGATATCCGGATCCGACAACCTTACATTAGTTGGGAGTCACTCTAGGTTAATTGTAAGAAAAGGGCCTCTAAGAATTTTAGTTTTTGGGAAAGCATTTGGAGAAATCTAAAAAATTTAAATTTTCCTTTTTTCACAAACATTTCTTAAAAATAATTAAAATTTAGACAGAATCTGGAGAGGATGATCAAAAGAAGGGAACACAGCTTTTGGAAATTTATGCTTTGGAAATTCAAATGTATACAGAACAAAAGAATAATAAAGCTTTACAACAACTTTATGACCAATCAATTCATGTAAAAAGTGCAATTCCTCATCCTTTAATTATGGGAACAATTAGAGGTTTTCTTTGAAATTTTTTTTCTAAAAATTAAAAAAAAATTTTAGAATGTGGTGGAAAAATGCATTTAAGAAATGGTTTGGAAATTTTTTTAACAAATTTTAAATTTAAATTTACAGCCGAATTTGATAAGGCTCACACAGACTTTTTTGAGGCGTTTAAAAATTATGATGAAAGTGGATCTTCTCGTCGAATACTTTGTTTGAAATATTTGGTTTTGGCTAATATGGTAATAAAAATTTTATAATTTGAAAAATATTTTTGACTTTTTTTTAATTTGCAAGTAGCTAAAAATACACATTTTTCTGTTATTTTAATTTAAAATTAAAAATTTTTTAATTTTCTCACTTAACTTTTGTATCCTAACAATAAAGAATAGTGCCTCAGGAATAACCCCCGCTTTGGCCCTGTGTTCTTTTAATAAATTGGCCATTTTTAGACTTTTCTTAAATTTCTCTAAAGCTTTTTTTTAATTTTGAAAATCCCTCAACTTTTCAAAAACGTTTTTAAAAATTCAATTTATTTTAACTAAATCTTTTATTCATTTTTAGCTTATGAAGTCAGATATTAATCCTTTTGACAGTCAAGAAACTAAAGCTTTTAAAGATGAACCAGAAATTTTGGCAATGACACAAATGGTTGCTGCTTATCAGCAAAATGATATTCAACGTTTTGAACAAATTTTGGAAGCTAATAGAGCTTCTGTAATGGATGATCCTTTTATTAGAGAACATATTGAAGAACTTTTGGCTAATATTAGAACTGAGGTATATTTCTAATGATTTTTTGACTTCGGGGACTTCTTTATATTTAATTATTTTTTACATAACTTTACTTGAGTCGTCCAGGGAATTTGAGATCAATCACAAAATTAAAAATATTTGAATTCTGTAATCAAAATATAAATAAAATAACGCAAGTCCGGTTTTAAATAGAATTTTTTCTTTCATTGGTTTTTAAACCCCGGTTTCGAATCGGGATTTTAGCAGTGTTCGGCACGATTCGGTACAAACCTAGTACTACTGCAAGTACCGAAATTTCAGAATTTTAAGTACTCGATGGTACCGATATTTTACGATAATTCCGATATTGAAAAAGCCGTTTGTCGAACACTACTTTTTAGGTCAAACCAGTTTTTGTTTTGTCAGTTACTTTATGAAAGTCTTTTGAAAATAAAATTTTATTGAAAAATAAAATACCAATTTTTAAATTTGTCTTCTTTTTTCAGGTTCTTCTACGTCTTATAAAACCTTATGTTTGTATTCGCCTTTCATATTTAGCTGAGGAATTGCGTATTGATGGAAAAGAAGTTGTTAGGCTTTTAGTTGAAATAATACATGACAGAAGGAGGGATTTAAAAATTGATCAAGTCAATCAAACACTTGTTAAAATTGGACATAATAAAGAATTATTAAGTACTGGAAGGGCACAAGCAATGAATAAAGTTTGTGAACAATTGGAAATTTTGACTAAAATAATTGCAGAGAAAAGTATTTGAAATATTTTTGGTAGAAGATTTTTTTCTTTTTTTTTAAAAGTTGAGGACGTATCTAGCAAGTAATTAAAAATTTAAAGTAGAGTTCGACATTTTTAATTGGATCGGTATCCAGTTTTTTTTATTCCAATCCGACCCGGGATGGGTTTTCCGGGCTAAAACCCCGAAAACCCGGAAGCCCCTTAAACCCGGTTTTTACTCTCGGCCCGGGTCCGAACTCTAGTTTAAAATAATCTTTTCTTTTTCTCTCAACGTGAAATTCACCATTTTATATGTAGTAATTTTTCCTTTTTCTTTGGTTGAAGAATGGAGCTATGTGACTGATACGTTCTTAAATTTATATAAGCACACTTATCTTTTCCTATTTTATTTTGGTTTTTCTCGTTTTATTATAAATTAAAAATTAAAATATTTAATTGTTGATTGATATTTATTTTTTTAATAAAAGTATATTTTTATTTTTGCAGAATTTTTAAACTTTAAATATTTTAGAGTTTTTAATAAAATTTAGAATTTACTTAAGTTAGATGCCAATATTAAAAGTAGAACAACAAAGTAATTTATTAGATTTATACGCGGAAGAAATATGTTCAAGAATATCACAAAATTTAAGTTTAGAAGGACTTGGACCTCTTAAAGAATTTTTACATGAAGAAAATCTTTTGGAAATACTTGCTTCTGATGAGGGAATTTTAGGTTCTTTTTAATTATTGAAAAATAGATTTAAATTTTTTAGAGCAAAATGATTTGGATAAAGGAAGTAATGGTAGTGAGGCGGGCAGTGTACAAAATTCTGAAGACAGCGAAGATCAGGTTAAAAATTAAATTTTATGTATTATTTTTGTTAAGGGTTGGAAGTTTATTTTTATTATTAATAATTAGAGATCGAGGACATACCTGGGGCCTATTTCAATTGTCCACAGATTCTGCATTCTGTGCACAGAACACAGATTCTGTGGAAATTCTGTTTCAATTAAATTCTGTGTGCACAGAATCTGTGGTG